GATAAGATTTATATAAATACCCGAATTCAAATATGTTTTTGGCAAATATAATGAAGAATGATATTTTGATAAATTTATAGCCTATTTTTAGACACTAAATTCATAAAAAACATAAAACATTTAATTCACAGTCTATAATAGTCTTTAACCAACAATATGTATGATAAATTTAGTAATTTAATGAGCGGCGAGTCGTTCAGCTGCGCCATCTGTTTTGTTACATTTGTTGCATAATATCAGGCGCTTGGCCACGTGAGCTGCAAGTGAATGCCGGTGTTGGCGTTCTCTTAACTTGTATTCGAGCTGTTCTTGTCAACTGCTCGCCCACACACTGCTTTGTATTTCGTTTTTCCTTTATTTCTTTACATTTCATTCCATTTGTTTTGTTTTTTTTTTAACTCACGTGCCCCTGATTGCCATTGGCTGCCCTGCAGCGTACGCTGACGATTTCATTTGAAAATCCTTTCAGTTTTGTTCTTGTATTTTTTATTTTATTTTATTTGTATATATATTTTTTTCCTTTTACTCGTAGCAGCTGAGGCAATAGCATTCTGTAATTGTTTATTGCCACTAAGCGCCTGTTGGTATGCAACGATTTTTACGTGCAGTATGTAAGATTGTTTGTTTGCTTTAATTCTTTTCGCTTTTTCGCTCTTTGCAATGCATGACGTCCGCACGACTGTGTGTAAAATGTCCATTGGCGATTTGTAAATAATCGAATGTGTGTGTGAGTGAGTGTGTTGGTGTTCGTATAAGCATATTTACTGCTGCAAGGTAGGTGAGGCGGTCAAAAAGGATTTCTCTATTCGTATGTATGCAAGTTTATATATATATTTTACCCGAAATGAAATATTTCTTTAGTAAATCTTTTTTTCCTCCTTCTATATTCTTTGTCTGTTAGGACTTCCGCATTTTCTATCCCTTCAAGGAATTTTTATTTCAAAAGTAAACAAAATTAAACTGAATTAAATTAACTAGAAATATATAATATCAAAGAAAAATAAAAAAATATAATATTTATAAAACCAAACAAAACAAAATAATTAAAAATAAAAAAAGATAATATAAAAAAATTAAGTTAAAATACAATAAAAGAAAAGAAAATAAAATAAAATATATAAAAGGAAATGAAATTAAACTAAAAAAAAAAAATACCTTAAAATAACATAAAATAAAATAAAACAAAAATAAAAAAAAATTAATAAAAAAAGAAATGAAAAAAGTGAAATAAAATAAAATTAAATTAAATTAAAATGAATTAAATTATATTAAAATACAATAAAACAAAAGAAAATAAAATAAAATAATATAAAATCAAATCAAATGAAACAAAATGAAAATAATATAAAAAGCAAAATGAAAAAAGTGACATTAAATAAAACATAATAATATAAAATAAAATAAAATAAAATAAAATTAAATTAAAATAAATAAAACAAAATAAAAATAAAAAATAAAAAAAGTGAAATAAAATAAAAAAATAAAATTAAAAAAAAATTAAATAATATCAAACAAAATATGGAAAATTAAATTAAATTATATAAAACAAAGAAAAATAAAAATAAAAAAAATAATAATGAAATTAAAAAAGTGAAATAAATTAAATTAAAATTATAATAAAATAAAATAAAGTCAATTAAATTAAAGTAAAGTAAAATAAAATGAACAGCTGAAATTGGTAAAAAAAAATTAAATTAAGCGTGAACTTACATTTTCTCATTAAATAATTTTTATAACTTTGTAGTCGTGCTTTTCGCTTCTTTGATACCATTTTTCCTCATTCGAAACCTGCTTCTGCATTGCTAAATAATATTTCCCATATAAATTTCAGATAATCTTTCTAAAACGCCTAATTCTTTGATATCCACTTAACATATTAGTGTAAAAAATTTATTTCATGATAGTAACTTTGCGCCTTTTTTCCCTCACCCCGCCTTCTGGTTCTCCGTTTCAATATTTTTGAGCGCTTCAAAGTTCCTGTCCGTGCGGAACATGATGACCGTTTTTTATCTCCCTCGCCAATTTTTTTTATTTATGTGTCCAATAAGATTCAATTGGCGCCACTTAAGCTTTACAACATACATATATACAGACAGTACTTATGGCAGCTCCAGTTACACTTTAAATCTCAGCGTGCAAAAAGCTTTAAGTAACAACGACAGAGAGTCAAAATATTGCTTTAGTTATTTTTTGTTTTTTTTTTTTTGTGTTTACAGGTATCTAGGTGACAAAACATTGTACTTTCCGTTTGTACTTACGAAATTAGTGGTGGTCACGCCATTGACCTCTGTGGGGCTGAAGAGTATCAAAAGCGTGGAGAAACCTGAAAACATTATTTTTATTTTTTTATTAAATAATTTATTGTTTTTCAGTTTAAATTCAAATTTATTATGAATTTTATAAATCAAAAAAAATTAATTTTTTTTGTTTTAGTTTTTTTTTAATTACAATAAAAAAAATTGTGGTTTTGCGTCTCGATGTTTTTTCCAACAAATGGAATTAATTTATGCCACTTTACATCCGCTATTTACCCTCCGTTATTTCCCTTCTCCGTCTTTCTGTGGTCTCTCGGCGAAATACAGAAAATATTCTTAGCGCACCCATATCCACCTCTATCTCTACTTCCTCCTCTTCGCTAATACTCATTGAGTCTCTTCAAGAGTTCGTTGAACTAAACGTTTGGCGTCTTCTTCCTTTCCCTTAAGCGCAGCGTCTGTGCCTTTATGCCCATTTGCTTCGCTGCCGCTTTTGTTTTGACGACAACACTTGAAAGTGCTTCTCTCTATACTCCTCCCCACTTTGCTCTCCTTCCATCTACTTACCACCCTTGCAATATGCAACCATTTGGTTCCATTTCCATTTTTGCTCCACTCCGCTTGAGTTTTTATATTTTTATATTTTTCTATTTTTTTTTTTTATTTTTTGAAGGCCTTTCTTTGTTGTTTTCGCCTTTATTTATGTATCTACTTACGTGCTTATACTAATACTTACTTACTTCACTTCACTTTGTTGATTTTTGGTTTTTAGGCTCTGCACTCGTATGCGTCACGTAGTATATGTAAGGCAGATTACCTTTCCCTCTCGTCGATGGCGAAGACACAAGTGTCAGCAGGCGTCGCTCCAGTCAGTCGGCTGGTTGCTTTTTGTTGTTTTTCGCTTTGTTTTGCCTTATTCGCCGAGTCAACTTGCTTGCAACTTGAATTGCGTCGCGTTGCAAGTTAAGCTCTACCCGTCTTCTCTCTCCGCCAGGTCTACCTTTTTGTGTTGCCTTTCTGGCGCCATGTAAACAATCGCTTTTAGTATTTTGTTTACAATCTTAAAGTTCAAAAAGAAGTATTAAGTAAAGCATAAAGAACAGCGGCAACCAATGAGACAAAAACAAAATTGCAAATCTGCCAACACAGGTTGACTCCAAGTGAAAAATGTGAAAAACAAGAAATCGAAATTTCCGGAATAAATTAAAAAGTTTCAAAAAATGGCAACACACAGCTTCAAATGTTTGTACAGATATACCTACACGTATGCACCGACTTCAGTCTACCGGGCAGTTGTTTTGTTGTCTTGACTTTGTTTTGTTTTCTTATTTTTTCGAGTTTTTGTTAGTTTTGTTGTTTGGATAATTGAATTTAATGTTTTTGCATTTGAATAATGCAACTTGGGGTTCCTTTCCTGTTATGAATGATGTTTAGCATGATTTTAGGCGGATGAGCGCATGAATTAAAATATTTATTTGTTGGTTATCCTAATTACTACAGAAAAAATTTTCAAATGAAAAATTTAGTGAGTGAAAATAAAATATAGTAAAATGGAATTGAAAATAGACAATAAAAACCAAAATAGCATAATAAAAAAAGGTGTTAATATAGTATAAAATAATATTATATAAATATAATATAAAAATTAAACTAAATTAAATTAAATTAAAAAATAAAAAATAAAAATAAAATCAGTTAAAATAAACTGGAATGATAAATACGAACAAATTAAATTAAAACGAATGAGTCTAATATAAAATTAAATACAAAAAATATCAAAATAAAATTAAAAAATAAATAAATAAAAAAAATAAATAAAAAGAAGTAAAAAAAAGTAAATAAGATGAAAAAAATGATAAAAATTAAAGTAAAAATATTAAAAGTTGACATAAAAATAATTACTTAAAATTTATAAAATAAAATAAAAAAATAAAATAAAATAAAATAAAATAATAATAATAAAATAATAATAATAATAATAAAATAAAAATGCCTACCAAATTATGTTTGTGAAGTATTGTGTCACTAAAATACTTTACTATTAGGTAACGTTGCCCATCCTGGAACCGCTTTCGCATCACTTCATGAAAACGGTCCATTATTCTGAAAGTGAGATTAAATCTCACCACCTGCGTCCAGGTCCTATACTTTTTCTGCGAACTCCTTTATATTAACCTAGTTTATGTATTTCGCATTGCAGCGTAGTTGAAAAAATATTCTCTACTCTTTGTTAACCAACTGCGTTTTCAAGTCTGATTCGCTCGTCCCGCCAGCAAGTGCATTTGAATATTGTATATTCGGAGTCATCTTAGCTGGTATGGTTAAAGATATATAACTGTAGTAGTCTACTTCGCCGAATTTCCTTTTATTTATCTGGCTGTCCATCGGACAAGTTCTCCTACTTCCCATCGGGCTTGTCATTGGTTCAGGGATAGTTTCCTTCTGTCCTCTCTGTTTGTATTGACAATGTCTCCTTGGTTTCACATTTTATTGATTGTTCAGTTAATTTACAGCTATAACTTGACTTGATACTGTACAAGATGCCGACACTACTCTCAAGGCCAACCGACTGGAGGAGAATCTTTTTTTGCTTAGTATTGGATTGAATTTTTTTTTAATTAATTATTTAAATATGATATCCCATTAAGTTTCATTAACTAAACTATTTAATTTATTTTAACTTATAAATATTTATCGTCGGTAGTCATTGTATTAATTAAATTCTCTCTCTTTATCTACTTATAGGGCAGTCACAGATCCACGCGATGGACGACGAGTTGCACTTAAAAAGCTTCCAAATGTCTTTCAGTCGCTGGTATCATCGAAGCGAGTATTTCGTGAACTGAAAATGCTCTGCTTTTTCAAGCATGAAAATGTAAGTAAAAATTATTGTATTCTAATAAATACCAAAAAAATGAGTCGAAATAAGTAGAAATAAATAAAAATTAACAGCTTTTTAAGTAAATTAATTTTTTTTTACTAACACTAATATATTTTTTAAATTAATTAATTTTTTTTAATTAATTACCTCAAATCAAATGCGATGATATAACTTCTGCGTAGCTTGAATGATATTAATTCTTTTTAAATTTTGAATGAAAAATATTTACCCCTGAAAGTATGCAACGCTTTAATATAATATCATTCCTTTGCCATTTCGAACGATGGAAAAACACGAAAACATATTTATAAAATGTTGAAAAAGTGAGTTAGCTTGGAATTTTATTTCGACATTCTATGCAATATTAAGTGAGAGCGCGATATGCAAAAAATCATGAATTTATGAATAAATACTGAATTTCGTTTTTAAACACCAAATTCTTTGGCACTTAGCTCATGGACGCTTTAAGTTTTATTATTTTATTTTTTTTTATTTCGAATTCATGAATTCCTAATGTCCTTTGTAATTTTCATTCAAACTCTTTTTATACAAATACTTTCATACTGTATGTATATGTATGCGTTTGCGTTTTAACTTTTATACATAATTTTTGCGATGCAATTGAATAGCCGCTGCAAACGATTTTACGTTTCCTCTCTTTCTTTACTAAAAATTTCCAATGTACATACATATATATTTCGTTTTCATGGCACGCAGCAGCAGCGCCAGCGTATTGCTTATTATGAAAAATGCATTCCTTGTCGGCGATTTGTTGCTAGCTGTGCATTGACACGTATGTACATAAGCGCCCTTGTGTATATGTATGTGTATTTATGTATGTATGTATGTATGTGTATGAATGCTACTCTTTGTTTGCTCGCAGTTTAATACACATTTGCTGCACAATTCGAAAAGCAGCTACTATTCATCCTTCCAATTGAATTGCAGACATTATACAAAATTGTATTGCATATCAATAGGCGCATATACTCCTTCATGCGTTATTTCAGATATATAGGTATATATATGCCAGTATGATTGTACTTGTGCATAACAGCTTTCAGTTTGTCGGTGGAAATGTACAATTTTAATACATGCAATTGACGCAGTGAATGCACTTTTGGGCGTTAAAAACACATGCAATTTTATTTTAAATAAAATAACAAAAAACAGTAAAAAAAAGCAATTATAATAATAAATAAAATAAAATAAAATAAAATAAAATAAAATAAAATAAAATAAAATAAAATAAAATAAAATAAAATAAAATAAAATAAAATAAAATAAATAAAAATAAAAATAAAAATAAAAATAAAAATAAAAATAAAAATAAAATAAAATAATATAAAATAAAGTAAGTTAAAATTAAATTAAATTAAAGTAAATAAAGTAAAATAAAATAAAATGGAATGAAATGAAATGAAGTGAAATGAAAGGAAATGATATGAAATAAATTAAAATGAATTTTTATAAATAAAATAAATAAAAATAATTATAAAATAAAGTTCGCTTCATGCATTAAAAATTAAATTAAAATAATTTAAATACATTAAAGCAAAATAGAATACAAAATAATTAAAGGAAAATAAAAGCGAAATTAATTGAAAAAAGTTTAATGAGGTAAAATAAATTTAAGTTAAGAAAAGTTAGGCAAAACTAAAGCAATTAACATAAAGTGAAATAAAACTGAATTAAATTTAACAAAATTTATGGAAATAAAATAGAATAAAACATTTTAAATTTATTAAAAATGGAAATAAAAACAATAAAAAAATAAAATTGTAAAATGAAGTTAAACAAAATTAATTCAATTGAAATAAAATTAAAAAAAAAATAAAATAACATTAAGTAAATAAAAAATTGAATTAAATTAACCGAAATTAATTGAAATAAAGTAAACTAAAGTAGAATAAAAAATTGTCAATTAATTAAAAAAGGAAATAAATTAAAAATAAATAAAATGAAGTTAAATAAAATAAAATAAAACACGTTAAAAATTAAACAAAGAAGAATTTAAAAAAATAAAAAAATTAAGTTAAATGAAATATAGTCAAAATATATAAAATAAAATAAATTGAAAAAATCAGATATTAGTATAATTATATATATGTATATGTGTTTTTGTAAAAATTTTACTATTTATTTTTTAAATAAAATTTATTTCACAATTGAAAATGAAAATTATAATATGTACATACATAATTCAGAAAATTAAAATATTTTAAGTCCAAAAATGTAAGTAAAAATTGAAAAGTTGAGAGTTGAAAAAACAAGTAACAAATGTTGAAGTAGATTCCTGCAATAATAAAGTAAAATTAAGTGAATAAAAAATTTGAAACAAAATTAAGGCACCTTCGTATCATCCATATATTTCAAAAATGAAAAAACTTGGAACTTGAAAACTTTCCAGCCTTAAAGCCAATTAAAAGATCAATTGATTTAATTCTCACTTCACTAGTACGATTTATCGTTTATTTGCTTATTCACTCAATCGACATCGACATAAATAACTAACAAAAATTTTACAGACGAATTATATACGTATGTGCATATATGTACGAGTATGTTCACTTTTTTTGTAACCTTTACATACAATCATACACTGTTTTGATATTCCGTTACTTTGTTTCATAATCCAAATGAATTGTGAATAAAATTTGTGTGTGTGTGTGTGTAACAATTTTATTAATCCAATCATGGCTTACAGTTAAATTCATAGAGTTTTGTGAATTTTATTGTAGAGATTTTCGGTTTTTGATGCTCAAATTCTTGTTTACATGTGTACATATTTTTGTGTGGAAGTATTTTGCTCGTTTATCGTATTTGCAATGCATTTGAGCTGGCATTAATAGCAATCACATTCTACATACATATATTTACTGTATTTACTACTTTGTAAAAGTCACACATATGCAAGTGGTGTTGAAATTTATTTCCGGTCAACTAGTGGTAAATAGAAATAAAATCATATAAAATAAAGTTTTTTATTTTTTTTTTAATTTCGTCAGGTTGGAGGATTTCATGATTTAATAAAAAGAAGAAGTTCATTAGATTTTCAATTCTTCTTATTAATTGTATTAACTTTCAAAAATTATAATCAATTTGAGTAAAATTTAAGCAAATGTGACTTTCCATTATGCTGCCGCCGTGTGCCATACTTTTCAACATTCTTAAAAAAAATAACTAGAAAATTAAATAGGTCTGCAGCGTGTATTAGATATACGAGCGTGACTCTCTCTCTCTCTAACATACAAATATCTCCCCTCACGACTTCCGTTCGCCTCGTCCGACCACAGTTTTCGTAACGCCTCGTAACACATTCGCCCGTTTCAGTCCATACATCGCATAGGACTGCAACTCTTTTGCAAAAATTTCAAAATGGCTCTGATATTTTCTGAACAGCGAAGCTCCTTGATGTCTAAAACTAAGTATAGTTGAGGCCTTCCATTCTGCTTGCGTGTGATGCCAATAAGGTGCGGCCTGTAGTCTTTTTGAGAGCGTGTACTTTCTTTCACTGTTATTGCACGTGATCTGAGCAGTTTTACATGCCACTAAGACATTCCATCCCATCCTGAGACACCTTCTAACTCTCTTGAGAGTAGGAAACCCCGAACATGGCTCAAATGGTAGGTTGAAATCACATGCAATATGACCAAACATATCTGATCGTTAATCGAAGAGAAGAGAACTAAGTTGGTACTCCTTCTAAGAGCACATGAAATGGTATATTAATTTTGGTCCAAAGTATGGAGATATTGGAGAGGAGATAGACTCATCAAAACGTAGATCCGATCGGTGTCAAAATGACGAGTTGAGTTGGTTAATAATGCCTGTCTCCTGTCCGTTTGTACCCAAACTAGTCTCTCAGTATTTGAGAGAGACAGAGATGCTCTGATATATTTATACGATCAATTGTCGGAACGCCGGTTTCATTATCTAACTATCACATGTATGACCAAATTTTTCAGATTTGGCGTTTTGTAGCCGTTGAAGTGACTTTTGGTCGAGCACCTTCTCGGTTTGTTTTGAGTCTTGAAGTTTTTTCTAAAAATAGGGGGATCACAGTTTATTTTAAGCCGCCCACGAGCGGCCGTTGGATTTTTTATGAGCGGGTTTGTATATCTTGTCAGACATACGCTCGGAGGGTTGGACATTCCTTGCCATGAGAAGACCGCAATAAGAAAAAATATTTTTTTATAATTTTTAGCTGTAAAACTTGGACTCGAACCCTGGTCTTTGTATCTAGAAAAAATCATTGCCACCGAAAATCATTTGTTCGGATGTGCGGTTTTTGGTAAAAAAATCCTTCAAAAAAAGCATTTAAGAAAGTGAAATTTCATATTCTGCTCACTTATATACAAATATATTTTTTCCCTGAAAATTGTTGAAATCGGGCGACTATATCTTATAGCCTCCATACAACCGATTTGTTCGGATGTGGGGTTTTTGGTAAAAATCTTTCAAAAAAACACTTAGGAATGAACTAGTGAATGTCAATTATTTTTCTTTAATTGCATCATAAAAAAATAACTTTTCTTCAAGCCTCAAAACTGAGATACTCCCAATTTTAATCCCTAATTGAATTCAGGCCATTAAACTCAATACATTTCCTGTTCACTACCAGCCATGCCATCCACATTAAAAGGTAATTTCTGTAACGCATTTATTTTTACAAAAATTTTTTTTTGTTACTAACATTTTTATACACATACATATGTACATGTGTATGTGAGTAATCATAAAGTAGCTCTTTTCCTGCTGCTGAGCTGAGCTGAGCGGAATAAAAAGTGCAATCAACCTTGCCCATCACAGTTAACCGCAGGCTAAATTGAAAAAAAAAAAATAAATAAAAATGAGATATATGTATACATATGTATACATATGTATGTATGTACACATGCCTTTAAATTTATTTTTAATTTTTTTTTTGTGTTGTTTTCCAACAAATCAATCAAACTGCTGGCAGCTAACAAAGGAAAATCCAAAAACTAAAA